TCTCTGATCACTTTCTTCTTGTTAACATGCCTGTAGAATCCTTTCTTGTTATCCTTCACATCATTAGCCAGTCGCAATTCCATTTGCGCTTTCGCCTTCCTGATAACCCTCCGGCATTCTCGAGCTATACATTTAAACCCCTCCCTGATCATTAGTCCAAGTTTCCACTTTTTGTAAGCTTCCTTTTTGTGCTTAAGTTCACCAAGAATTTCCCCGGTAAGCCAATCCGGTCTCCTACCATGTTTACCTCTCTTGCTATGCATCGGGATGGTTTCTTTCTGTGCCTTCAATAAGGCTTCTTTAAAATACTGCCAGCTGTCCTGGACTCCTTTCCCCTTCATGTTAGCATCCCAGGGGACTCTCCCCATCAGATCTCTGAGGGAGTCAAAATCTGCTTTTTTGAAGTCCAAGGTGTGTATTTTACTACTCTCTTTTCTTCCTTTGGTCAGGATCCTGAAATCTACCATCTCATGATCACTGCTTCCCAGGTTGTCACCCACCTCTACTTCCCCTATTAGTTCCTACCTGTTTGTGAGCAGAAGGTCAAGCTGCGCACGGCCCCTGGTTGGATCCTTCAGCACTTGTTATCCCCAACATTCTCCAAAAGCTCAGAACACAGTAAGAAAGCCCCAATAACACCACACGCTTCCCTCAAGAGTCCTGTATCTGCTTCTCCTTTACCTGGAGAACTCCCTCTCTAAACTCCCTGCTAGCACTCACCTGTTCGCAAGCACCTCTTGAAGAAGAGATGGAGGGTGATGCTGATTCTTACTTAAGGGGAAAACTGGGGTGTAAAGTCCCTCTAAATGAAAATATGATCATAACCCCAGCCCAGAAAAGTCAGCTGCAGACTGACTTCCCATCTACTGAAGCACAGACTTGGTAAAGGGCAAGGGGTCATTTTCTCAAGCCTGAATCCTTGTGACTTGCTGGATTTAAAGAAGTGATTATACTCCAAATCATCTTTCAACATTTCACATTACGTATTTGTCTTAATTATTCTTTTAAAAAATTAAACAATAACCATTCTACATTTACTCCATAGATAGTCTACAACAAAACAATTAAATCAAAATTATTGTCTCCTTATTGTCTCAGGGACATATTTTTAATGAAAAAAAGAAAGCATATACAAACACTCAGAATGACAACATACAAATAAATAGCTATGGCTGAGATCACAAATGTCAAGAGCCCTCACGCTGCTAAAGCTGGGAACAGTTTTTTGGGGGGAACAGGTCAGTACAGTATCCATTGTTGTAAGATTAAGTTGTCTGTTGGGGAGGGAAAACCTGAACAAGACACAAATGATTGAATCCGGAATAAAATAATAAAAAAAATAAATTGGTACATTAAATTTACATTTCTGAATTTGAATGAGATAAAACAATATAGGTTTGATATCTGCCTTGTTCTATTGATGTACATAAATAAAGTTCTCATTGGAGGTTATGTTCTGCGTATGCAAGCACAGGCATGCATACCCTCTTACTTAGCCTTTGACAAGTCAACATTTGCTAGCTTGCTCCATGGTTATTTCCTGTTCTAAGTAAAGGGGAAACTCTTCTCTTAGATTTCACTGTATAATAGAAGTTGGCAAATATTGACTGGAGTAGATCTCCCGTACAGGCACTAACAAAACAAAAAACAAACAAACAAAAAAACCCCCATTAACACCCAATCTTGTCCTAGAAACCTAGGGTAAGATGTAGCCAAAATACCATCTTTCTAATACGTTAGTGGGAAGACAATGAAGAACCAGCCAAAGGAGACATTATATCCTCATGTGAACACATGAGTAACCCACACAGTTTCAGAAAGGGTGGAAAGCAATGGCTGTTGCTAGTGAGACTACACAGAGAACAAATCTGTTTATCCTAAATTCAATGGGGCACTTAAACAGTGTTCTGCTTTGTCTCCTCTCTTTGATACCTGGAGCAGCATCCCAGCTATGAGAGCCTTTGGGCTTTTAGCAGCACATAAGGATTGAAGATTTAATTCCTTTGCTGTTCCAGGGAAAGCACAACTGTTTTACTTTTGCTTTCTTTGCTCTTTAGCACTGCAACCTTTTTAAATTTGAGAGATTTTAATATGATATATTACAGCTTCAGTAACATTAATAACGACAAGGTAGTTTAGTATTTTAATCTTAGAAATCCAAGAAACTATTGGACATTCATTTTTTTCTTGATTTGGTTGTTAAAATCAGAGTATGTATATAGTACAAAATTAAGATGAAAGACTCTCAGTAGTTGGCACAGTTTACAACTATTGTTTAAAATTTTCTCTGATGGCATAAAATTTGGCCTCTGAGCATAAGCTGAATTGAGATTTCTACAGTGTAATTGTTCCCTGCTTCGTCTTTCTTCAGATCCCAATCAAGAGAGAGGGAGAGAACATTTCAAAATTAATTTATAGCTCCTTTTTCTATTCTGATCTTCCTGTTATTACTATGCAGCTTTTTAAAACAAGTACCACGCAAGATCCTCTACACCAAACACAATAACTTACCAGTATAATGGGGGGAAAAGGGAACCATAAACTTATACACATTGGGAAACAAGTTTGGAAAATGTAATTTTAAAGTAATTCTAGTGCTTTTAGTATTATTTTAGGACTCCTTTGTTAAATTCTTATCAGCTGGGGTAAAAATTACAGTATGTCAAGCTAAGCCATTGAATTTTCTTTTATAGACTTGCAATGCTATTATAACAACAGAACTACAGGTAACATTGTAATGCAATTATTTTTCTATACTCCAATTTTTAGGTCAATACCTGAAGTCAGAATGAACAGAAAAGATAAAACAAAGTAAATCAATCCTAATGAACATTTGTTTTGCACAATATATTTTAGATTAGTTGCCATTTCTTGTATGACTGCTACATAACAAAATTGTTCAGATATATATTATATTTCAGAAACCAAGATTTATACACACCAAAATACACATTTCAGAATTCTGTTATCAATCATTGTATAAAACATGAATGCATCACTAATTTCCAGAATTGATGGCACACTCATTTTCTTTGACAGGCTTTCTGTTGACTCCAGATCAGAGAGAAGAATAATCCTCATTGTTCATTTATTTACCTCAGAATTACCTTGCTTTTACTGGTGCCAGGTTTTTATATATTGTAATATGTACAAATCAAGCCAATCAATAACATGACTGTGCTGAATATTGAATATTTTAGCAGTCTGACTTTCCATTTATCCATTCTGAGAATATAACTTAATATATTATGATATATGAATGGAATAGAAAGATTTTAAAAATACTAGTCCTTTGCTTCATTTGGTTTTAACTATTCTTTCCCAGACAAACTACAAGGTCAAATCAGCTGCATACAGGAAAACTGCTCTGCTTTTGCTCATCCCCATTCACATAAATACAGGATACCCAAGTGATTATGCTTAGTGTTGCTTCTTATTGCCAGAACTATGCAGAATTTTAAAGTTTTTGGTAAGATGGTGTGAGTAGGAGATGACCAAAATGTATTAGTCTGGGAACAGCTTCCAGAGAAACAAACAAGACCCCTAAGTAAGCTATAGGCAGATTCTGAAGCAATCTGCCAAATAAAAGTAAAGCTATACACAGAGTATTGCTGGAAAAATGTATTATTTTTTCACTTGACCCAATTCAGCTGGTGTTCTCTTGAAAAACCTATATTCTGAAAACCTTTATTATTGATTTTAACATATGTATATTTCCAAGGCATGAATTTTCATGGAAACGGATATAAAACAATCAGCCTTCCCTTTCAGAACTTAACTAAAACTGGAATATGAAATGCTTGTTTCCTTGAGCTATGTGCTCTGCATTCTAATATTACTCATGTCTCTCAGCAGCACTGGCCTGTAGGTTGGCTCCAAGCTTTCCATGTATTCTAAATAATCACTCACTCGAAATCTATGGAGTGCTTCTTCCTGCACAAATACACAAAAAAAAATTATTAGCCATGAAAAAAGATATGCTATTACAATCTAATGAATTTTAGACTTCTGAAGTACCTTTTTTCATTTAGCTTGTCACTGCCTTGGTGTTTTATGGTGCAAACAGATACTTTATTACCCTTTGTTTAAGAGAGAAAAATCAGCACACTCATGTTCAGACAGCTCTTCCTAATTACAAATTTACTAACAAATTGCTTTTTCAGATTGAACTCATTTCTTCACTCTTAAGAGACCATGCCATTTGATGATTTCAAGGAATACCAAATAAGCCTTAAATAGCACATGACAAGTTACAAAACAATCTTTTTTCAAAGTATATACTAGCTCTGGAAGCTCTAAGCTTGTTAATGTGCTAGGTAAAATGAATAGGTTCCCATTACATTGATCCACTCTGTTTGCTTACAGCCAGCCAGGAGAGTAGCCTTAGTTATATATTTTAAAAAACAATTATAAACACTGATCTTCAAAGTACAGTTTTTTAAAAGCAGGCTAAGATACTTTTGCTTCATCATCATGAACAACAAGGAATATTCTATAAAGCCCTCGATTTCATGTCCATATTTAATGGGGGGTGGATGGGTGAAAGCATGCCTGAAAAAAGAGATAATCAGGCCAAATCCTTCCATGGGACTGACAAGGTAGATTAGGTAGAAAGATGTTGGCAGATGTATCCTCTGCAAAAGAAACTGAGAGTAGAGCTGGACTGAACAGAGAAAACAAGAAAAAAACCCTCTCTGGTTTGATACTCCTTTGAGCAGGGAAACCTGCACGTTGACCATCTGCTGAGTAGTTACTGCTAAGGGAGTATATGCTATAAAAAGCACTTGGGAGCTAGACAGTGCTCTTCGGCATGTAGAATACAGGCTGATGCATTAGCTGGGCATCTCCCTTAAATAACAGTTAGCTAAGCCTTGGGAGACCAGATGTCCTGATAATTTAGGATTTTGTCTTATCTAGGTGCCTGTTATCTTCAAGCTCTCTGTCCTGATTTTTCATACTTGCCATTTAGTCACTGTAGTTGAGTCTATGCTTACCAAATGAAAGTCTGCACATCTCTGTTTGAATGAGGCTCTGAGGATGTCCTTATCCTTTTCCTCTCATCTTCACAAGTGCAAACTAGGGCACAGTTTTGTCCTATTTTGTGGAATCTTATTCCACATATATGGAATGGGAGAAGATTATTAGGCACTGAAGGAAAAAGAGGCTGTTGTAGGAGGAGTTTAATTCCCTGCTTCAGGCAGCCAAAATTGATCAAATGTGTGTATGCTCTATACTGTATATCTGATAGAAACCAAACAGAACAATTGCATTTATTATTAATTATTCAAGCTAGTACTTATTTCAGCTACCCTTAAAACCGTTAAGCAAAACTGTTTGGAATAGCACTGCATATTTTATACAAGGGAGAATAAAAAGTGATTTAAAGTATATGTAAGTATTTGTAATGAAGTATATTCGAAGTATATTTGACTTCTGAAATAAAATGGTTCTTCACTTAATTACAGTTTTACATTTCCAAATAGGAGCCCACATTAATTCCCTAAAATGAAGAAAAAAATGTACCTGATATATTGCCTCTCTAGACCTACACTGTAGAATTTCTTTGTTGCATGACAAGACCCATGAAGCAGCCTAAAATAGTCTGTTTGGAGGTGCACACATATCAATACAAAGAACCAACATATTAATAAAAACTGTCCAACTATGATTACAACAGGCCCCATCCCTGTAACCATTCCCAGTTCCCCTGTTTAATTTAAATTTAAATTTCACCAAAGATTCAGAAAAGGTTGGACAGTAAATGTGGATTTGGAGAGGCAGCAGGCTAGAGTACCCAGACACTCATGTGGATGCATGGAAATAGGAAAAGTACAAGGAGCTTTGCCTCAGACCCTACACAAGGGCTAGGGAGTTGCACATAAGGAAGCACCACAAGACTTGTTGACTGTAGTAGTCCCAGAGCTAAGAGACGAGATATAGCCTTTCCCACCAATACACTGGCCAGTGGATCATCTAGACCCCGAGAAAAGAAAATTCTGTCCTACCATAAGGGAAAGTGTAACATGCACAATCCCCAAATGCTCCTTGGAGCTCTGGCCTGGATTTTGCTTTCAATACTCTACCCAAATGATCTTCAACCTTTTTAAGCACGAGATCACTTTTTTGAATTTAAATGGAATCCAGGATCTACTTCAAACCCAAATACCCTTGCCCTGCCTCCTTTGTACCCCTTCTCTAAATCCACTCCATCCTCCCTCCCTCGCCCATACTTCCTCCCTTTAATCAGGCAGGGGCAGAGGGTTGGGGTGCAGGCTCTGGTCTTGGGTTAAGGGATTTGGAGTGTGAGGGGCTCTGAGCTGAGCCTGGGGCAGGGAGTTAGGGTACAAAAGGGGGTTGAGGACACAGACTCTGTAAGAGTATTTGAGTCGAGGGGGAGCGGGGGCTCAGGGCTAGGGCATGGGCTTGGGGTGCAGGAGTGGTTTATAACTGGGGAAGGGGTTCAGGATGCAGGCGCCAGCTGGACACTGCTTATTCATATAAGCAGAGGGTAGCACAGGGCCTTAATCTGCACAGAATGCAGTCTCATAGACTCATAGACTCCAAGGTCAGAAGGGACCACTATGATCATCTAGTCTGACCCCCTGCACAGTGCAGGCCACAAAATCTCATCCACCCCTCCTAGAATAATCCTCTCACCTATATCTCAGATATTGAAGCCTTCAAATACTTTGAAGACCCCAAGATGCAGAGATTCTCTAGCTGTGATCTGTACCCCATGCTACAGAGGAAGGCGAAAAACCTCCAGGGCCTCTGCCAATCTACCCTGGAGGAAAAATCCTTCCCAACCCCAAATATGGCGATCAGCTAAACCCTGAGCATGTGGGCAAGACTCATCAGCCAGACACCCAGAAAGTTCTCTATAGTAACTCCTATCATCCCTCATCAGTCAGTCATATTTGTTTCTTATTTTTTAATAAAATCTTTAATTGCCAGTTAGTACTGACATGCAAACTCCCTCCATCCCAAGCCCTGTTGTGCCCCCCTCTGTTCTGTGGAGATAGACTACAGGGTGGGACAGGGGCAACCTGACATCAGCACCTCCTTCTTTCCCTTCCCTTCCCTGCATAGCAAGCAGGGAGTGGGGGGGGGGGGGGGGGGGGGCAGCCCCAAGGCAAAGGGCAGAAGGTGTGCAGCAGTTGGGGCAGGGACAGCTGACGTGCCTGCATTTGATAGATTCTTGGCCAAACCAATCAGGATCATCTGTCAAAGGCTCAAAGATCTACCAGTAGATCCCAATCTACTGGTTGGTGACCACTGCTCTATCCCTTTCAAAGCTCACAACTTCAAAATTCTCTCAATGCCTACAGTTGTACATAACTTCTGGAGAATTCCAGTTCTTAAGTACACTTTATTTCTTCTGGAAGTACTCCAATGTAGGAAGGTTATCAAATAGAAGCCATTCCCAAGGGAGGGATGAGGACTGTTTAATTCAAGAAGGCTGTCTCCTCCCTCTAAAAATGAAAATCTAATTTAGCTTCAAAATCAGAGAGCAGGACTGAGTAAAAGTGTAAATGTAACTTGATATAGTGATTTGGAGCCTTATAAACTCAGACATACAGCGACTGCCAATAAAATCAGCATTTATCACAAATTACTATAAACTGGTACCTTATAAGGTATGTCTACACTACCACCCTAGTTCGAACTAGGGTGGTTAATGTAGTCAATCGAAGTTGCAAATGAAGCCCTGGGTTTAAATATCCCGGGCTTCATTTGCATCTAGCCGGGCACCGCCATTTTTAAATCCCCGGTAGTTCGGACTCCATGTCCGCGGCTACACGCGGCACGAAGTAGGTAGTTCGAATTAGGCTTTCTAATTCGAACTACCGTTACTCCTCGTGGAACGAGGTGTACCGGTAGTTCGAATTACAAAGCCTAATTCGAACTACCTACTCCGTGCCGCGTGTAGCAGCAAGCACGGAGTCCGAACTAACGGGGATTTAAAAATGGTGGCACCTGGCAAGATGCAAATGAAGCCCGGGATATTTAAATCCCGGGCTTCATTTGCAACTTCGATTGACTACATTAACCACCCTAGTTCGAACTAGGGTGGTAGCGTAGATGTACCCTTAGCTACTTGGGTTACATCCTCATCTTAATATGGGCAATAACCTCAGCATCTCAGATAACAATGTGCGATAAATTCTTGAAAAACATCGACCTTCTAACAGAATAAACCTTATGTGAATATATTATGGAGACAAGGCTTGTAGAGAACTATTCCTCTGACAGAACAGACTCTAAATATATCTATTTTAAGGATACATATTAGAGCCCTTCTACATAATAATTTCAGTCTTTTCTGGATTGAGGTACTTAGATCTCAATTCAAACCTCTCTTTTGGATAGACTCTTTCAGCGATGCTCCTAGTTGACCTCAAGTAGACAGATAAATGAAGTCTTATGCCCCATGAGATATAAAATGTAAATTGGCCATAAAGGCCCAGACCGGACAAACTTGTTCCCCATATGCTTGGGGAAGATTTGGGAGGACAATTCTTGCACATGTAAAGAAACTGGAGCCCCTGAACCATGGGAAGTAGGAGCTGAGTAGGGAAGAGACTGATAAATATGAATAGGCTAGGTGTTGGGTTGCACCTGAAGATTAGAAGATGGATGGATTAAGCAGACATACTGTCTTGGACCTGAGCAACTATGATTTGACTCTCAGATCTGAAAGCATAAGTAGAAGCTAGAGAATCATTCCATTTTGGTTAGTGTTAGATCAAAGGATTACCTGTGACTTCTCAAGAAAACTATGTGATCTCAGTGACAAACCCACAGATGGTGAATAGTGTCATCAAAGGCATCAAAAGCAAAACTTCGTCCCAAGCCTATCAGAGACATTGGCAAACTATGTAAAATAGTGGCTAAGTCCTAAATAATTAATAAAACTGAAGGCACTTAACCAC